TGCAGATTTCCTCCCCATCCAAAGTTGGGGTGATCTTTCCATCCCGGATTATAACTGTTGGAGTACGGGTTCCTCTGTTGTCGATTGGTGTCATTCACGTAATTTAGAGACTCCGTTTCTTCTAAGCACCGCTCGGGACCTTGGACTGCATGAACTTGTTGAGTCTGAAATGCTGCTACTTGCTTTGATAGCTTTTCTAATTGGGCGGTGATTGCGGTGACCCCGTCTAACTCTAAAATTCTTCCCGTTTTATTGGCTCCGCTATTTGACCGGTCCGATGCCCGCATGTATTTGTTCCTTGCGATCCGCTCCAAAAGTTCGTAAGCTTCGTCATATGTCAAGCTCATGTACATACCGTCAGCTGCTGAATCGAGCACCGTTCTCGAATTATCTTGCAATCCATCATAAAATATTTGAAGTTGCCGCCACTCTTGAAGACCGTGATTCGGGCATCTCCGAATAAGTTGTTTGAACCGCTCCCACGTCTCGAATAATGCTTCCCCGGCTTCTTGTATGAAGTTTTGTATTTCTCTCCGGATTCTCTCAGTTTTGGTTGGGGAGTTGTACGTATTCATGAAGAGCTGTGCTAGTTGGGGCCAAGAAGATATGGAGTGTGGTGCACGAGTTTGTAGCCATTCTCTTGCGGCTCCTTGGAGAGAGTGCTTGAAGAGACGGAGCTGCAGTGCTTCTGGTGACACTCCGTTCATCTTATGCGAATCACATGTTTCGAGAAAATTGACCAAGTGAAGATGCGGATCTTCGTGAGCTAATCCGCTGAATAACCCATTGTTTTGGAGCATAGTAAGGAGTCCCGCTCGAATTTCGAAATTGTTGGCTTCAATGGGGGGCTGCTGGATGCTTGAATGAAACCAATTTAGTGTTGGAACGGTGTACTCATGCAATGCTCGTTGGCGAGGTGGTGGATTAATGAGTTGCTGTTGCTCTTGCTCGTTGACGATATTTCCTGCCGCATTCGGTAGGCGCCCTTGGTCATCTCCCCTACGATTATTCTCTTCCTCCATTGTTCCGGGCACGTTTCGAGCTAACCGTTGATTTCTCCTAGCGTTCCTAAACGGTTCGCTCAATTTCGGGATCCAAAGGTAGCAAGCTCGTGTCGTGCCCTATTCGCATAAAAAGTACCTACAAAAAATAAAAAAAAAATAAATAAAATAAGCAAATAAAATAAATAAAACGGCTGAAGTAAGAAAAATTGCTCAAATTTAATATTAGAATAAATAGATAATTTAGCCGTATTCCCCGGCAACGGCGCCAAAAACTTGTTGGGTGCTAAATACCTAACACGCAAGTGCACGTATCGCAAACAAGTAGTAAAAGTGGACTCGTGAGAGCCGGATGTCGATCCCACATGGAATACTCAAATTATCTAATCCTAAGTACCAAATTCTAACAATTATGATTTTTATCCAGCCTACGCAAAGTTGTCAAACTTAATCAACTAAATAATTAAACTAATTATGAAAGCAATTAAACACGATAAAATATCAATAAAAATGGACCTAGGATTTTATCTTCCCCCTATGCAAGAATTGCTCACCCAAAACCCCTCAGTTATGAAATATATGATTCATGATTATTAACCCGAGACACTAATTTACTCATAACCCGCTGTCGCGTGTATTATGAGTCTATTATTCATAAGCGGTTCACTATATGTCTATGCAAACAAATTATGAATAAAGCATTAACCAACAAGTCTCGTAAATGGCTACCTAAGGTGATATCTGTATGTCTACGACACCACATGCAATTGACACACTCATCCGATGAAAACTACTCGAAGGTTCTTATACTTACCGTCTAATTATCAAAATAGCTCTGTCGAGTCAATCCCAATAATCACAGATAAAGCACATAAATTGATCAAGTTCATGCACTAACAATCATAACAAGTATAAGAAATAATCATAAAATCACAATTGCATAATCTCAAGAAAACGGGTTCACCATCCCCACATAGGGTTCCAACAAAATCCTAGATTAAAAACTTAGCTACTCAAGTTCTCTACGAAAAACATAATAAAAATATAAAAAGACATAGATTAAGAAAAGATAGATAAAAGAAGAATTGTGATGAAGATTTGTCAATTCTCCGTCTTCGATTCTTCGTTCTCTCGCTCTTCTCGCTCCAAGGTTGTGTCAAAAAGTTCTTTAATTCGTGCTTGGTTTGCCCTTAAATAGATGTCCCAACTTGGTAGATGATTCTAGGTTTCCTTGTGTGATTAAAAGTCCAAAATTGTCTCCACCGTGTTTTGGCGCGGCCGCGCAAAAATCAGTCAAAATTTCACACGGCCGCACGAGAATCGCCGAAACCTTCTGCCCAACTTCTGCAGTTGGCACGGCCGTGCCAAAAATAGGCTAAATTTGGCACGGTCGCGCGGGCATTTTTCAGCCAATTTTCAGCATCTTTTGTTTTCTTCCGTTTTTGCCCGTTTTTGACCTTTTTAGGCTCGTTTCGTCCTTGGAACTCCCAAATCGTCAAGTTGTACCTAAAATACAATAAACCACTCATTAAGCATCAGAAAATCAATATAAATATACAAAAATCCTCGTAAGAAAGTATACATTGAGTGTAAAATACACACTCAACAACTATATATGACTACAAATGACTATATACCAAAAAAAATCCATCAACATCTCTAAAGAGGCATTCTTCTTCGTTTTCGTGGTGGGCCCCACTTTGCTGCCATGTTCTTGTGAAACTGATGTAAACTCTTGATCAAAACAAAAAAAAAAATAAAAAAATAAAAGACCATGAAATCCTCTGATTATGCAATTTTCAAAGGATCCTCTCATTGTGCAATTTTTAAGAATTCAAAGGAATATCAAATATATCCAAATTATGCAATTTTTATTTCTTGAATCCCCTGATCGTGCATGAAATCAAGTAAAACAGAGCTCTCACACTTAGGGCTTTCGATCATCCTCAAATACAAGAAAAAAAATTACATATAATTTATAACAAAAAATGAACAAGATAAAAATTAAACAAAATAAAAATCAAATAAATCCCAAAAAAAAAAAGATTTTAATATTAATTGTTCACAGATCTTAAAAAAACCTAGTAAATCTGTATCTGGTTTGAGTCCTCCCCTCCCTCAACCAAAAAATGAGAAGAAAGTAAAACAATAATGTAGAAACCATTTCATCAAACGGAAGTACGTAGAAAGAGATTTAAAACGAATTTAAAAAAAATACAGTAGAAAAAATTGGCTGCAATTTCCTTGGAAAGGGACTTAATAGCCGTGTCTTGACAAGATTATCGCAACGAATCCAATGTTGCAGTTCGTAGCCAGATCTTTGGTTGGCCGCACAATAGATCCATCAACAAACCTATATTTGTTTTTCACTGTTAATTCCATAGTCACGGAGTGATTCCATGTGCTATAGTTTTGTTCAGTAAGAACTTGTGACACAAGAACTAATCCCGGTTGGTCTAAATGGTGAAGGTATAAAGGATGATTAGGGTTGTCAAATTTGGATGCCATGCTCAATTGAGTTGACTTGTTCTTGTATGTATCTTTCTCGTTGCCAATGGTGAAATGAGCAGATTTTTTTCTTTCCCAGATTCAGTGCTCTGGTACCATAATAAATAGATGTTTGGAGTGGGAAAAATTGTTATCTTATTCAACAGAAAAATGTACATTTTTATACAAGAATACAAAATTAATTACGTTCTATAATACAGCCAATAATTTAGTATAGAATATATCTCGGATGGTAAGAAACTAATTGAGATATAAAAAATATTATCTTTCCAATTGCGTATAATTGTCCTTCGACCTTCAACATGCAGCTTAGAGGAGGTTAGAGGTCCTTCCCACATACAATCATATTATACGACAAAAAGGCATCCATGATCAAGAATTTCAGTAACCTAGTTTCTCGTACCTGCTCGATTCACAAATAAATAAGTAGCGTCACTTCTCCCAAGGGATGGACTATCTCTCCTCCAAACCTAATAAGACAGAGTCTAATTGCTTCACCTCGATCAAAATTCAAGCCCTATATATTTGAAGCATTCATAATTAATAATGTCGGCCGAATGATCATCAGTGCGTCGTTGTGAAGCTGTTGGTATCCCATCTGCACCTAACACTGTTGGGTAGGTGGTGGTTACGAGACCCTAACATTTGGTTACAAATGTCTCTAACAATGTCGTATAAGAAACTTATATAACCGGGTTAATTTACTAGTATTAATTAATATAAATAAATTTTTTTTTTATTGAATATATCATAAAGTAGACCTTGAAATTTGTTCTACAACTCAAACTTTCTTCTCTCAAATTTTTCGAAAACATTGCTCAAACCATATTAAAGTGTTCTATTAAAGGTTCAATTTTCTTAATTAGGGAATCGCAAGTCATTGAAGGCAATGCTTTTAAGACTTGTTGTTTCAAACAAAGTAGATAACAACAATGTGTCCACACTTGGACTGCGACTTACTTCACATTATTCATCCTCTCAAACAAACTTTCTTCACATGTCCCCAACATCCAATATTAAATAATTCAAGAAATAAAACAAAAGACCCGCAAGGGTGGCCTAGCGGTTGGAGCAAGAGAGCTTGGGTCAATTGACCCAAGTTCGAATCCCCTTGCCAACGGTCGCTAGGTCGAGCTTGTCACACATGGTTAGCCTAGTGTGGTTTACATCTCTCGTATGGTTTGCAAGCTATTATACGAGAGTGTAGGTTTACCCAGTGCACCTATATGGTTGGCTGCAGGTTCCTGCATTACCAAAAAAAAAAAAAATAATTAAAACAAAAGAAAGAACTAACGGTAGAATGTTGAAAGATCATCTTTTCCTCAAATGACCGAACTGCCCTTGGGGCATTCACACCTACAGTCATACACGTGGATGCTGTCGTGCGGATTTAACGCCTTAACTGTCGCTGGGCCCCACTTAAAAAGTAGTGGCACCATCGTGAATAAAATAAATCTCAATGGGCCATTTGGGCATTAAAAAAAGAAATTTGGACTTGATATATGCCAACCTTATATACCCCATTTATCATCATATCAAACAAACTACATCACAGTTTTTTTTTTAGTACAGTGCTCAGTTGCAAGAGCACTGTGTTTTCAACAGTACTAAATAAAGTGTCGGCAGACCAATTTTTTTTTCCTCGATTTCCACGCGCCACCGTGGAGAGGTTGTTTAGAGTATGGAGGGTCTCTGCTACATTTTCGTTTTTTGCATGCTAGTGGGCTCCGCCGCCGCTGTGCAAGACCTACATTGGCGTCCGGCCACAGCCACGTGGTACGGAAGCCCGGAAGGCGACGGCAGTGATGGCGGCGCGTGCGGGTACGGGTCCCTGGTGGATGTGAAACCGTTCAGGGCCCGAGTCGGGGCGGTGAGCCCGGTGCTGTTCAAGGGCGGCGAGGGGTGCGGCGCGTGCTACAAGGTGAGGTGTTTGGACCGTTCGATATGTTCGAGGAGGGCGGTGACTGTAATTATAACCGACGAGTGCCCCGGTGGGTACTGCTCCAACGGCCGCACGCATTTCGATCTCAGCGGCGCCGCTTTCGGAAGAATGGCGGTTGCCGGCGGCGGAGGGCAGTTGCGTAACCGTGGGGAGCTTTCAGTCATTTACAGGAGGTAATTTGTATGTGTGTTTTCTCAACGGTCTTGTTCTGTTTTGTCTTTTTCTGATTAGAGCTTACTTAATTAAGTAATTAACTACTCTTTTGAAGACTGTGCCGGTGTGCCCACCACTGCTTAATTTGTTGTGAATATTTAATTACTGATTTACTTCAGTTAGGGTAATTAATTTTTATTTTATTTTTATTTTTATTTTTTATTTTTTTATCTATATATATTTTTATGTTGGTTAAATATTACTGCGTCTCTGCAGAACCACACACACACATGAGAGAGAGAGAGAGAGAGAGAGAGAGAGAAAGAGAGAGAGGTGTACCTTTTTGGTCAAAGTGTTATGGCATATCTTGAGTTTGACTGCCCAAATGAGCTTAAGATACAAATTTTGCAGTTAAAATAATTAATTATGTAATTTATATGAGGATTATTTGATGTGTAGGATATAATTAATTAATTAAAATATTGAACAGTTGAAATAATATATATGATTAAAAAATGCATGCAGGACGGCGTGCAAATATCCAGGGAAAAACATAGCGTTCCATGTGAATGAAGGATCAACTGATTATTGGTTGTCTCTATTAGTTGAATTTGAGGATGGAGATGGTGATCTTGGTTCCATGCACATCAGAGAGGTAATTTACACACCACATACCTTTTTTTTTCTTTTTTTTTTTTTTTTTAACTTTGCTTTTATATTTTAAACATTTTGGTAGATTAATTATTAGTTTAAAACATACCTTCTTTTTTCTCTCAAAAAAAAAAAAGAACTCATCAAATTTTGTTTTTAGAAGTTATAAAGTTGTTTTCGATAGGTTTTTAATTAATTATCCTTTGAAAATGATAGGACAAAATTAGAGATATTAAACGTGCCTGATTATTGCGTGTAAATCTGAAATAGATCGCAACTCCGAAATTCTAATATTCAAATTTTGTTTTATCAAATAATTGAAATGAATTTGGCTAAATTCAAACAAAAAAGAAAAGAAAAAGTAGTACTAGTATTTAAAGTGATTGTGCAACATAACACTTTCTCCATGTGTTTATAGTGAGGACAATCACATGACAATATTGCTATTGCTGTCCTAATGTAGAATATTGGGAGCCTAAAACTATTTTTTTTTTTTGTTATTAATTAATTAGTTTTCCATAGTCAAAAGAAGCCCCTTTTTCTGTTTCTATAGGGTTTTTTCTTTTTTTTTTTTTTTTTTTTGCAATAAAGTCCCCACTTTCTTCGCATTTATCTAAAAGAGGACATCTTTTTTTTTTTTTTTTTAATCAGTATAAAAGAAAAGAGAACATCTTCATTTGGCTTTAGAAGAAGCATCACATGAAATCCAGAAAACATGTACTAAAAAAATAATGTTTCGGTTAAATGAACAACTCAAGATCTTTAAATCACGTGCCCTGACAGGTCACACTAGGTGTGTGTGTGTGTATTTATATATTATTTTTATTTAGGGTAAATTCCACTTTACCCCCTCGTACTCTGCCTGAGAAACACTTTACCCCCTCGTACTCTCAATTTCATCGATTTACCCCCTTGTACTTGTACAATTTCCCAATACAACCCTTTCCTTCAACTTTTGTCAATTTTGACTCTGACGCCGTTTGGTCAACTCTGTTAATTACAAAATTGCCACTGCCTATAACGCGTCGTTTCTCCTCCGTTAATATTGTCATTTCTTCTTCTCCCACCACTTCCCCTTCCAAGATATCCCCAAATTGAACCCCTGACTTAATAAAAATCAAGACCCAAAAATTGATCGATTCCACCCAGTGCAAAGAAAAAAATATATGAATGTGTGAAACTTTCTCTTTTCTAATCTCGAGAGTCAAAATCAAAAAAATTCAATATCTACGTCAATATTTTGACTATTGACCAAATGGCGTCAGAGTCAAAATCGAAGAAAGTTTACGAAGAGGGTTGTATTGGGAAATTGTACAAGTACAAGGGGGTAAATCGACGAAATTAAGAGTACGAGGGGGTAAAGTGGTTCTTGGGCAGAGTACGAGGGGGTAAAGTGGAATTTACCCTTTTATTTATTTTCCTTTTGAAAAAGAGAGATTCATTCATTTGGCTCCTTTAGGGCATCTCCAATGGAGTAAGCAAATCGGGTTTCCAAATTTTGTTTTGGAGACCCATATGGAGACCCGGTAAAATTTTCGAGTCTCTAAAAAAAAAAGTTCCACAATGGAGGGCTCTATAATTTTGAGTCTCTAAATTTATTTTACGATTTTTTTTATATAATAATGTGATTAAGGTTTAAATTTTATTCATATGTGAGGTTTTAGATAATTAATTTATATTCCATCAATCATAATTACTTTTAATACACATTTTGATCAAATAAATAAAAAAATCTGAAAAGATATGATATATGTCCAAATATAACGAAAAAAGATATATACACCATCAATTGATCCCTGCCATTAATTATTTTATCTATATTGCTATAGAAAAATAATTCTAGCTAATGAAATGACAAAATATTAACATAGATATATGTTCAAATATAATGATGGTGTATTAACACATATTTAGGAAAAAGAAATAAAAAGCCGTGGGACCCAGCAAATAGAGAGTCTCCAAATGAAATCACATATTTAGGAAAACATTTAGGAATTTGGTGAAAGTCTCTAAATTTGCATACCCATTAGAACCTTTGTTGGTGTTGCTTTTTTTTGCAAAAGTTCTATAATTTAGAGCCCAATGGAGTATGGAGCCTCCATTGGGGATGCCCTTAGATTATTATTATCACTTGTTATATTTCTAGATGGAAAAATTGTTATATCTATCTGTCTTGAGATCTTTCTCTCACTAGAATTACATACCTTTACCAAAAAATAAAGGCCCCCCTTAGCTTTTTTCTCTTTCTTTAATGCCCAACTCCTAAGTGGGCAATACACAAATCCCACTTCCTTTATGGAAAACCACTACTCCCACCATTCATCAAACTGAATTACTATGTGTCTACTTCATGTTGGTCGTCCCAAAAAAATATGCCTTAATTATACAATTACAGTTAAACATCTATAAATTAATGCAGTCGGGACTAACAAAATTCTGTTAATTTAGCAAAAAAAAAAGGTTCTCTGAATAATTTGAAGTGTGTTGTTGTTTGTTTGAATGAAAGCAGGTGAATTCAAATGAATGGCTAGAAATGACACACATATGGGGTGCGACATGGTGCATAATAGCTGGACCTCTACGAGGGCCGTTCTCCGTAAGGCTAACAACTCTATCCACCGGAAAAACCCTTTCTGCAAGAGACGTCATCCCCAAAAATTGGACTCCTAAAGCCACTTACACTTCTCGCCTCAACTTCTAATTTCTACCGACAAATAGTTAAGTGTGCACGCGAGCGCGACCGCGCGCGCCTGTTTTTCTCTCTCTCGAAAAAGAAAAAGTTGCCAAGAAAAGTCAAAAGTTGGAGCAAAATGGTTTAACTTTATCTTTAGCAGCATTACTTTGGTAAAATATTGTGCAGTGTGTAGCCCTCTCCAAAGGAGAGAGTGCGTTTTTTTATTAAGTGGTGTGTAATATTATTAGTTTATGTGTTGTCGGAGTTAGGTATAGTTGGTTTTATGGGTGCTTGTGTTTTCACAGAGACAGGGGCCAACTTGTATGCATGGTTTTATGTTGTTTGCTTGCTTTAATAATTGTGATAATAATAGTAATTATAAATGTTTTTGAAAAATAACAAAATCTAATGTGTGTGATCACCTTCACCATTCATCACTCTCTCTCTCTCTCTCTCTCTTCTGTTTATAGTTTATGTTGTGGGAGCTACTCATATAAGATCAAATTAGTAAGAAATAACTCTAATTAATCAATAACATGCCAATAATAAATTTTATTGTTTGTTAGTTACAACATTTATATCCATAGATGCGAATAATATGATATGTGGGGCTGTTGATTCTAACATATATAACTTCTTTGGAGTTCTCAACTTCCCACTAACTCGACACAACTCATCACTATCTTCCTTCCATTATTCATGTTACGTAGTTAAACCTTTATAAACTAATACACATCAGTCGGACTTGTAAGATATTACTTAGAGCAACTCCAATGCTACATACTAAAATTGAATTATTAAATATTTATTTGATATTTCAGTTAACATTTTACTATTGTTTAAAATTCATCTACTCCAACCATGGTTATCAAATTAATTATCAATTGGAAGTTTATGGGTGATTTTATTTGTAATTGCCACATGTCCACTTTTGATTGGATGTTTAGATAGTTACACTTTTGATAACTCAATTTCCAGCAATTATTTTTACATCCCAAAAGTTGAATTATCAAAACAGAACCCTAATTTGATAACCCCACTGGAGTTAAAAAAATTCTATTTTTTTTGTGTATAAATAGTGGTTAATGGCTTGAATACCATGTTTGATAACCTCATTGGAGTTGCTCTTACTCCTTGCGTTCCACAATATCTGTCACTTTTAAGAATATTTTTTGTTCCATATTATCTGTCACTTTAGAATTCCAACACTACATTAAGACATATTTTTCAATTATACCCTTATTAACTATTTAACACCCTCTCTGAATTAATTAATAAATAAGGGTATTTTGGTCTAACAATATCTATTTTCCTAAAGTCAAGACATATTTATTGAGTTTATTAAGATTTGTGCAAATGTGAAAAACAACTATTAATCATTTGGAGAATCTTACAACGAAACCGTATTTTAATTTATTTTCCAATTTGTTCTGTAAATTGGACACATATTGGATACTGCTTATAATAATTCGATATATAACATCGGTTAAAACCGAAGATGCATGTAAACTTATATGTAGAAGCGTTTTCACGTTTCAGAAATCGAAACTTCATGGTACCTGCGGCTGGTATGTGTGAAAGTCAGATGGGACATCGAATTAACCTTTTCATAATTTTTTTAATTTTTCTCGGAAGTCCAAAACTAATTCCAATTTCAATTTCAAATTTTTCGAAATCTAAAAAATTAATTCCAATTCCAAAATTCATAGAATTTTCGGAAACCGCGTGAGTTAACATTTCTAAAACATTTCAGAAACGTATAATTTTTAAAACTAAGAACACCCACTTTCATATAAATTCATGAAACAAAAACTACTCATATGATAAACTCTAATATCGTAAAAATAACTATACTCGCGCTAGTAACCTATTTTCTTTTGATTGTAGGCAAGCATTTTCAAAATTCAAATAACACAAATTTTTAAACCCTCGAAATGATAAAAGTCAAAATTAGGGAATAATAAAAATAACAAATCAAATATTTTGACTCTCCAACATGGCCAAGGGAAAAATATGCAATTATGCAAATATTAGGAAAAATCAGAATGAAAAAAAGATTGTTACAAAATCGGACTTTTCGGATCAGAACTGTGGAAATTAAAAAATTCGTTTCAACTTTCACCCCATACACTTGCTGAAACATTTTGGGGTCGTTTTTGTGAAAACCTGAAAGTTTTTTTGGGGACGCTTCTAGTAATAATGAGAAGAAAATTGAAACTCGATTACGCCAAAAAACATAAAAAATCTATTTCAAATAAAGACTCAAAAAATTTGTATACATCTGAAAAAATCTTAAATTTTATGTATTTTTTTTACTTCTAGTGGCCTTCTCTCTCTCTCTCTCTCTCTCTCTCTCTCTCTCTCTATATATATATATATATATATATATATATATATATATATATATATATATATATATATATATATATATATATATTATATATATATATTAGAACATATTTTTCTGCCCATGTGCATTTATGATACATTTGTGACTTTTAAATTGTATATAATTTGTGGATGTGTATCTATAATTGAAAATAAGCATATATATGTTAATGTTTATATATTTTTTAGAATTTATGAATCTACCATATATTTTTAAGATTGACACATTTCCCTTCCTTTCCCTATCTATTTTTTGGAACATAGAATTTTCCGGTGTCCGTATCCCTATTTCTCATGCCAGCGTTCCCCTATCCATGTTATATATAGATTAAAACTAGAGAATGAAAATTTGATTGATCTATGCGGTATAAATTTGCAGCTTTCAATTGTACTTAATTTGCTACCCTTGCTGGCGGCTATTATATAATTGGCAACTGATTCAAAATTATTTTTTAGCAATATTTGGTCACTAATATGTACTCCCTCCGTTTCAAATTATTTGTCGTTTTGGAGAATTCTTTCTGTTCCATAATATATGTCGTTTTATAATTTCAATGATGCATAAATTATATTTTAAAGTTATACCCTTAATATAATACACCTAAAACCTCTCCAAATTATCTCTCTTATCACTTTATTTTCTCTTTATCGTATTAATTTTAGTTATACTAATTCCTTTTTTGGGGTTTCCCAAAGCATACTCACACCGTATTATAAGAGGATTAATGGGAGAAAATTAATAGGAAAGGATAATTTTTCAACAAACTTTTCCTTTTTCATCAGAAGTCGTGAGAGAGTAAATAATTAGTGCTGATGAAAGAGAATTAAGGACTAAATTTTCTAAAAGTGTATTTTGGTCCAAATATGAATTTTGTCCTCAAATTTAGTCATATTTATTATCGTTCTTAATTCTTGTGCAAATAGCTAAAACGACATATAAATTGGCATAGAGGGAGTATATATTAGTCATCAATAATAATTATTTTCAACCATTATTTGGTTTCATATACATTGTCATTAACAACCAACAACTATTTTTTTTGTCACAATTAAATTACTTATTGCTACCGATTATTTACTTGCTATAATTTTTATTTGCGATGATATTTTTGGTCGCAAGATGGTCACTATAGTATGTGAAATACACTTATAATTGCAACCAATTAAGAATTACTGCAACCAACTAGTTGGTGGTTAAATGAAATTATCATTTTCAACGAGAACGTTGTAGTGACTTTATTTCAGTGACCATGAAATTTTACATTAGCGAATAAACACTAATAATTATTCTTTAACGACCATTACTAGAAGGTCAACTAATAAAATATATCTTTAGTGTCTAAATAAATAATTCGTCACTTAAAACTTTTAGTAACGACTATTTTCTCATCACACGTGACAAAATTATATTTTGTCGTTACATATTTTAGTGACAATCGATCTTGCTTCTAGCGACCATAAAGTATTGTCTCTAATACCAAATTTTCTTGTAACACTAAAACCAAATCTGTTTTATGACTAAAGCTTGACCAAATTTCTTAACATAAAAATGTGTAATATCTATAATGACCTTAAGTTAAATAAACTGAAAATTGTCTTTGAATTAAGGTTTGAAGAGTATCCAACATCTCCTTACTAATTCCAACGACAATGGACATCCGATGAGTTTTTTCATTTTTGGCAAACTCCTACGTCATATATTATTTGCTTTGACAAAATTTTCCATGGCATTTCTAAAATTATTTAGTTACATTTTTAATGTACATGCTACTTTCAGTTATAGGAGAAATAGGCTAAACGCCCCTTATTTCAAACTTATATAGGTGCGGATCCAAGTTGTTAGATGAATATAGGTGTAGGTGCCTTGACTCAAAATAATAATATAAATTAAATAAAATTGTTAGTTTATAGACATAAACACCCTTAATTAATTAGAGAACAAATCCCACATATTACTCTCTCATTATCTCCAATCAAACGTCTCTATTTATTTATAATCTCACATCTCTCTTTCTCCTCTCTCTCACGTGCGTTACTCTTTCTTTCTTTTCAAACCTTTTTTTTTTCTTTTATTTCGAATTCTATTTTTGTGTTTTTTGTTAAAAAAATACATAGACAAGAATCCAAATGATTTGTATGAGAGAATATGAATACATAGAGGAAAAAAAAGAAGGGAGCTTTACATTATGAGATTATCTCTTGGTCGACAACAAACACCTCCTTGGTTACAAAAAGTTAGTTATTTGCTTCTCCCTCTCTCTCTAAATTTATTTATACTAAATTTATATTTTTTTGATGCATTTTTAATTGATTTTTTGCTTCACCAAACACCAAAAATAATTTAAATTGACAAACTAAATTTAAAACATAAAATTGAAAATTGCAAATAGCAATCCGTAATAATAGATGTTTTGCAAAATTGTAAATTCTATTTTTTGGCATTGAAAGATTTTGTTGTTGTGTTTTGCATTTGCGTACTGTGTATTTAAAAAAAAAATTCTTGTTTTTGTTTGAATTTAGATGATGTTAATCATATTTTCAATTTATTTTTAATTTAATGTTTAATTACTTAGATGACGCATATTTGATTTTGCACTTTGTTGTTTGCATTTAGTCGAGTGTAATATGTTGTTTGCAGTTAAATAATACATAATATAATTTTTCAGTTGGTGTCTGCTGTTTGCATTTGACGTTTGTATTTGATGAAGTTTGAGAGTTTGAATTTTTGCAGAATTTTTTTTTCCAAAATGAACTTGTTTTTTTAATTAAGAGAGAGAGAGAGAGAGAGAGAGAGAGAGAGAGAGAGAGAGAGAGAGAGAGAGAGAGAGAGAGAGAGAGAGAGAGATTTGGGGGAATTTGATTTGGTAGAGATTTAGGGGATATTATTTGGTAGAGATATTTTTTATTTTCCGTATTTTATCAGTGGTATCTTAGATACTATAAATACAATAAATATAATAAAAATAGGGAATTAGTAATTGGATTTATACATATAAGAACTTTTATAG